AAAGCAGGATATGCAAATGTTTATTTAAAAAATGTTAGAGAAAACAGAATGCAATGCTTCTTGAAGACCCCACAGGATTTAACTTGTCCCATGCAGGCATATTAACATTTGTTCCAGAAATGTCATTCAAATTTGGAACATTTTCTGGTGAAAAACCCAAACCTAGTCCTGTTAGTGAAGATTTCCACATTTAAAGAGAAAGAAAAAAGCTGCAGCATTTTTGTTTGCACCTCATTCTTCCTTCCTTTATCCACATCAACAGAGGAAGGTTTTGAAGCTGCAGCTTTTAACATAAGCCTACAGGTCAAACCCATCAAAGACCTACCATGGGTTCAGAAACTTCAGGCACAATGCTCCACTGTATTCTCCAACCCCTAGAAGTTATGAAAAGAGTTAAAAAGAGCAAAAACAACTTCTCCACCTGCCAACATGAATTATTTGTAAGGGGTTAACAAGTAGTTTCCTGCAACAAGCACTTATGATTTTAAAAATAAAGCACAATTAAAAAACCCCATATCAATAACGAATTCACAAAATAGCATAAGCACTAGTGGCCAACAACAGTTTTAAAGGTATATACATTTTAAAAACTATTTTTAAATTACTGTACAGAATCACTGTTTGCAAGCACTGTAACAAACAACTGTGTGCACAGACTAAATAATGAGGAATACTTTCTCTTGCTTTTTATGTGAACAAAATTATATCAACTTACTCTGGAGCCTATTTGCTACAGGTAATTTTTACATAGTGTCAGACAGTAAGTACTGATTAAGAAATAAAAAAATTATTTCAAAATATGCATATTAAGATCTTCCCTAGCATTTTAAGCACCATAAGGGGGAAAACACCATTAACCTAAAATAGCGTTTTTAAAAGATCCTCTCTTTTTTTACAAAGAGTGTACATTTTTTTAAAGAAAAAAAAAAGTTTTAATTTTTAATAGAGACTGAATATGCAAATGGGAGATACTTTGGATAAAGTATGCCAAGAGCAACTGAAAAGAGCAAAACTGCCATTTTAGTCCTGGGTAAAAATTCTCTCCAGGAAAAAGCAGCAGGGTTCAATATGTAAGGTGATGTTCTCCATCTACTCTCAATACTGCAATATGATATTTATTTTGGAACTTTGAAGTGTTGAGGGATTGGTCTGAGAACATGCAGCATCATTTATGAGGACCCAAGTCACAAGAAATTAAGATAATTCCTTTGAATAGAAAAAAATCATGGAAATTGAGCAATGACATTAAGGATATCAGAGTTTGAATTCCACATTGTTAAATTTAACTCATGTTAGAAAAGGTAACAGTTTATGACTCAGTAGAAGAACAATAAAACATCTTTCAAACAAAGCATTACAAGAGAATAATCTAGTATTTAAGTAAATACCTGGCTATGAGGTAATTTAGGGACAACCTCAAAATTGCTAAAAATAAGAACATAGGAATGGCCCAGCCATGCCATACAGCATTCATGTAAATCTGCAGATTAAAAAGGAAATAAAAAAAGAAAAAAGAAAGATGTGGATTACAAACTGGGGTACAGTGAGTTGTACAAAATAGCATTTCCCACCGTGCTGTTGGGTTCAGCAACACACAACTTGGATTACAAAAGTTAATAAATTTTAGCCGCCTCATGACAGACAATAGCACTGAACTCACAAATGTAAAGTCAAAATTGCAAGACTGAACCACATCTCCAGAGATGACACTCAAATTCTGTTCAGGTGCTGGAGAGAGTGTTTTCAACATTGTAATTACATGAAGGCATAGGAAAAAAAAAAGGAAACCTTAAAGTCTGTGAATCTGCCACATGACCAAGGCAGGGTCTGACCTCACCCAGACCAGGTCAGCAATGATGGAGCAGAAGAGATAAACTCTCGTCGTATTACTCCAGGTCAACTAAATCCCAAATTTTTCCCAAGCTTAAAAAGATTGGAGGACAACAGGTCTTATTTTACCTAACAAACACAAACATAAAGTGCTCTGAAAGGCATTCTGTCTCCTTCCCAACTTCTGAAAATACAAGAGCCTGCCTGCCAAGAGGCATCAGGCTTTATACTGCTAACCCCAAAATGAAGCATTGCTCTGGCTCTGAGGTCCCAGCACTGTATGAACAACAGCTGAAGTTCCTTCTTTCAGCTTTTATCTGAAAAATAGGTTTGTCAGGAGAGACCAGAGAAAAACCAGTAGCTTAGAAGAGGGGAGTGACACAGGGCACTGGGAAGCAGAGCCTCCTCAACAATCCTTCAGCTGTGCCATGCAAAGCAGGGTTAAATAAGGCTCTTTAACTCACAGGGAGGGATCATTTGATGAAAAGGTGTGTGACATTTTCACCAAACAAGTTGTACTGAGTTGGCATGGCAAGGTTTTGGTAGCAGGGGAGCCACAGGGGTGGCTTCTGTGAGAAGTTGCTAGAAGCTGCCCCCGTGTCTGATGAAGCCAATGGCACCCAGCTCCAGCACAGAGCCACCTCTGAGAGCAATGATGGGCACACCTCTGTGGTTACACATTTCAGAAGCCAGAAAAGTTGCTGTGCAACAGCAATTGCAGCTGGAGAGAGGACTGAGAATGTGAGAGAAAACTCTGCAGACACTAAGGTCAGTGAAGAAGGATGGGGAGGAGGTGCTCCACACCCTGGAGCAGAGATTCCCCTGATGCCTGTGGTGAAGACCATGGTGAAGCTGGTTGTCCTCCTGCATCCTGTGGAGGTTAATGGTATAGCAGACTGTTAGTCTGCAGCCTGTGAAGGATGCCCCCCATGCCAGACCTGGTGAAGGCCCAAAGGAAGCTGTGATCCTGTGGGAAGCTCATGCTGGAGTAGGCTCCTGGCATGACCTGCAGACTCATGAGGAGTGGAGCTCATGCTGGAGCAGGTATGCTAGCAAGACTTATGACTCCATGGAGGACCCACACTGGAGCCGTCCACTCCTGGACTAAACTCCATGGAGGAGACCCAAGTAGGAGCATTTCGTGAAGAACTACAGCCCATGGGAAGGGCCCATGGAGAAGTTCATGGACCGTCTCCCATGGGAGGGACCCGATGCTGGAACAGGGGAAGACCACAAGGAAACATCCCCCTGAGGAGGAAGGAGTGGCAGAGACATCACGATAAACTGACTGCAACCCCCATTCCCCATCCCCTAGAGATGCTGGATGGAGAGGAGGTAGAGAACTGGCAGTCAAGTTGACCACAGGAAGAAGGGAGTGATGGGAAGAAGGTGTTCTGATTTTATTTAATTTTGTATTATTCTACTCTGAATTGGCTGGTAATAAATTAATTTCCTCAAGTCAAGTCTGTTTTGCCTGTGATGGCAATTGCTGAGTGATCTCTCACCTTCCTTATCTTGACCTTTCAAGCCTTTCATTCTATTTTTTCTCACCCGTGCAGCTGAGGAGGGGGAATCACAGAGTAGCTTTGGTGGGCATATGGCATCCTGCCAGGGTCTACCCACCACCAAGGTTCATTCAGCTATAACTGCTGCTAATAATTTCCTTTAATATCAAAGTATTTCACATGTTCCATAACCAAAATAATTTGGATGATTTCATTAACAATTAGAGGGAAAACAAGTCAAAACTCCACTAAATAGTAACGTCACTTTGTGGCACACACACCTCCTTACACAGCGTTAGAATGCTTGGGTTTAGTTCACAGACCTGATGTTTGCACATTAAATGATACTCCCAACAAGGCATTTTATCTCTCACCAGTAAATACAATCCTAATGCATGGCAAGGATGGCAACCATTAGCTGCTTATCAAACACAGCCACTATCAGCATTTCAGCCCTCTTAGACAACAAGAGATTTTCCAGAGGCTGAAGTAAACATCAAGTTACAGGACTGGGAGACAAAGAAAAATGCCCAGATCGTTCTAAGTTATTTTAATGGTTACAAAACTATGCTACAGTAAACTCATAATACACAGTTTAAGCGGCTTTGAAATATAATAGAAGTGACAACTCCTGGCATTTTGTGTTAAACAAAATTACATTATTTGATTTTACTTCATCTGCAGCATAACCCCCACTTAGATATGGCAGTTTCAATGAATTTCAGTAAAGAATACATTTTAGAAGTTCATTCTGCTCCTAGAGGAATAGGATAACTTACAATAAAGGCAATAGCAGAAGTGTAGATAGAATACCAGTCTGATAAGGCAGAAAGATTCTTCACAAAATTAGTAACAGGTTTGGCACCTCTCTCTAAACAGAAGCAGAGAAAAAAAACACAACAGAATTAGCTGGCAGTGGTTAAATCACTTGTGACAAACAACAAATCAGAAAATTAATAGGAATATTCAAGACACAATGATAAAAAGGCTTATCTAAACTAAGAAAAATTAAACCCATCAAGGTAGCTGAACAATTAGCTAAGCAATGCACTTCCAAAACCTAAAGCATTATTCAAGTTAAAAGGTTATGCCTGAACTATAGACAAAAATGATCAATACCCTCTACAAGGGTACCCTGGGTGCTGACAGCAGTCTGTTCTGAGCCTTGTTCCTACTGCCCTGAGGATATCCACAGAGCTCAGTTCATCCCACTGTAAAATAAGATAAAAGACTGACCAGACTTCATGCCACCAAGGGACAACTTGCTGCTGCTTGACCAAGGTAGCTTAAAGCCAGGCTACATCTCTCTTGGCTACATTTCTGCAGAGGTCTGTCTATTGGCAGCACTTTGCTGCTTACTCCTTCTAAGCCAAGAGACACAGGACCTCACTGCCTGAAGGAATCCGTCTCCCACCTCTGCAGACCTTTGCTGTTGCAGTCGCTGCATGGGAGAGGCATCACTCCCACACAGACTCATACAGCCACCCAGTGAGAGCAAGAGACCTTCCTCAGCTCCCTAAAAAACACTTGTCCTTTACTCTGTTCCTTAAAGTTCTTTTACCACTTGGGCAAACTAGCTAGGGCACACAAGGAAACAGGAGAGGGCTGCTGCAAGAAGACCTTTGCTTTCTCTGCTGGAACACAAGAGCTCTGCCTCTCCTGCTGAGAAGAGTGACAACTCCTCCTGCACAGAGAACCCCAGCAGCACTCACCCTCATTTGCAATTCAGCTCACAGCTTTGAAAGGCTTTCCTCAAGAGAGCCCGTGACTTGCTGTCCTAGTTTGTTTGGCTTGAAATTCAGCTATTCTCAACACACTTCCTATGGGAAGTAATTAAACAACTAGGAGTAGAGTTGAGCACCAGTGACACAGCCAAAGCAGGAGATGAACTGACCACTGGCAACAACAAGGGTCTTGACAGCTCTGGGTGATCATCAGGCATCCTTAGACAACAGGGGTCTAGATTTCGTGCTTCACCTAAGGGAAGTTAAGGACCACTCAAAGGTTAAGCTTAATACTGTTTTTTTAAAGCACTCTGAAGGCAATGCACATCCATCATGGTGAACAGGCCACAAGTACTCTCCCACAGGAAAACAGAATGAATACCAGTATTAGAAAAAGGAGAACAAAACTGACCTTACATGGAGATTACGGACCCTTGTTTCAACTTCACCTTCCCCTCTACAATAATTTAAAAATTTGGAGAACAAATCAGCCATTTATTTTTTCTTTAGGCTAGTAATCCTTCACTGCATAGAACTCTTGGAGGGTTTAACTACTTTGTTTAACCTGCCATCTTGCATCCTTCACCTTCCAACATAATTTATCAGCTATCCAAGAAAAAGGAATGCAAGACACACTCAGGGTAGCCACCATCCAACTCCTCCTTCTCTGAAAGCTTCAGTTAACAGACCAGCAACAAACTACATGCAGCTCAAGCATAAAAGTATGACCACTATTACTGCAGCTATTGTCCAAATACCCAGTTCTCATTCATTACACGTTTACACATTTTAATTAACATTACATTTGTAGGTTAGAAACACCCTATGCATCAAGATTAAAGGCGAGCCTCCACCACTGCTCCTCTAAGTTACTTTGCACTCCAAACACTAATTCTAAATTTCAGAATCATTTCTGCTTATGCACTGGCAGCATTTCAAACCACTGTATTTTAAAATGCAACAATTCTTCCAAGAGGGTTACTAGGATCTATTTTTACTTCTGGAAAATAAAACACTGCTAAATACTTACTTAATCTTCTCATATTTTCAGTCAACCTGAAAAATAATGGATAAAAGAGACTTGTTAAATAGGCAAGTTGTGTACATTTGGTCCCTGAAACACTGCTCGAGGGAGGTGATTCTCCCCCTCTGCTCTGCTCTGGTGAGACCCCACCTGGAGCACTGCATCCAGTTCTGGAGCCCCCAGGACAAGAGGGACGTGGAGCTGCTGGAGCGTGTTCAGAGAAGGGCCACGAGAATGATCCGAGGGCTGGAGCAGCTCTGCTGTGAGGACAGACTGAGAGAGTTGGGGCTGTTCAGTCTGGAGAAGAGAAGGCTCCCAGGGGACCTTATTGTGGCCTTCCAGTATCTTAGGGGGGCCTACAAGAAAGTTGGGGAGGGACTTTTTAGGCTATTGGGTAGTGACAGGACTAGGGGGAATGGGGCAAAGCTGGCAGTGGCAGATTCAGGCTGGATGTGAGGAAGAAGTTCTTCCCCAGGAGAGTGGTGAGACCCTGGGATGGGTTGCCCAGGGAGGGGGTTGAGGCCCCATCCCTGGGGGCCTTTAAGGCCAGGCTGGAGGAGGCTCTGGGCAGCCTGATCTAGTGGGAGGTGTCCCTGCTCATGGCAGAGGGGTTGGAACTGGGGGATCCTTGTGGTCCCTTCCAGCCCTGACAGATTCTGATCTGTTTGAGCAGAGGACTTTAGAGCCCTAATGGCTCAATGGTTGGACTTGATGATCTTAAAGGTCCCTTTCAACCTAAAGGATTCTATGATTCTAAATCACGTGGTTGAGCATATACCCTGATTCTTACCCATGATGAAGTGTGTTTCTAGTAATACCACAGCCTACCTCACACTGGACCAAAAACTGAAATGTAAAAGCTCTCCAGCCTAATTAAGACTTTGTCCACAGTTTGAGAAGCGTATGTGACAACCTGACAAATAATGTAACTCTTACTCTATGTCACATAGTAGATAAACTTTAAATTTCATGCTTGGGCCAAAGCATTCACAAGCTTCTTGACATAGTTTGGTACTTTCAGTTTTATTACTTGTTATGTAAATTCTTGTTCAAACCATGTAAAAGGTTGTAGGGGAAAGAAAAAGAGAAAAAAGCAAGTTGTAAAGAAGCCAACACTTTTTCATAACCACATTAAGAGATTACCTTCTAGCACTAAGTGGCTCTTCTGTTTCCACTGTATTCTCTTCTGGCTGAAATCTGAAGTCCTCAACATACTCCCCAAACTTGTCACAAAACCACTTCTGGAGTCTCGAACTGACTGTGTGACTGCGCTTATCTAGAAAAAAGGCACCAAACATCAGGACAATACTAGGAGCCATCTTCAGCCAAAGCCTGCCCCTCTTCCCACACATCATGCATTGTTAAGAAGCAGACTTTGTACAGCTCTCCTGTCCTTCATCACTCTTCATGAAACTCACTACACGATTTACTTCTGCCGTTGCACAGAAAAATCGCAGGTAAAACAAGACTAAAGGTGACTCCTGCTTTGCTCTAGGTATGGCACATGGAAGCATCTGATCACCAGAAGTAAAGAGATTACTTAAACATCCCTAACAAATGAGAATTTTTAGCAAACACTGTAAAAATATTTTCTCGTTAAGAAATTCCTGTAAACAAAAGACTGACGTAAACCTCAGCACTCCTCCGGAGCTGAAGGGTCAGCTCAAGAGGAGCAAGTGTAAAGCAAAACACTCCTGAGCAGAGAGCAGGACAACCACCCACAGGAATTTGACAGCAAAGGGAGATGGAAACTTAAGCAACATTCTGCAAGAGGCATTTTTATTACCACTTTCCAACCATACATAGGGTGTAAAGATTCTGTGTGTGTGTATATATATAAAAGCTTTAAAAATACATTTTATTTTTTCTAAAACCAGGCTACTGAAATCATGCTGTACATGACACTCTCTGTATATGGAATATATAGTCCTAACACTGTCTGGGAAGTTGCATACAGCAAAGTACTGAAGTGATGCACATTTTCTGTATGTCACTTTCAGTGGAAAAATATGAGGACATGGAAATAATATAAAGATAAGAGCCTTAAGGTAGAACAAATGAAAACAAAGCAACCATGTTTTGCTTGACCTGTTGCTCAGAAAGTTACTGTCTAGAAGGAGTAGACAGACTATTCTTTGGAAAGTTAGGTCAATCCTCATGAAGAGGACACTAGTCACAACTATTCCAGGACCAAATTTATTAGAGAAATCCAGAAAATTAAGATATTATTAAAACAGATGCATGTCAGTCAACTACAGCAGCCAAAATGATATTTTTAAGCATGTGCTCATAAAATAGAATTAAATTATTAATAAATGACAGTGACATCTAGAAAAACAAGTAATTTAGTGAAAGTTTACAGATGGGCCAACCCTTCTGTTTGAAATTTTAAAAAAAACCCAAAACATTAAGTAGCTTCCCCTTCAGAAAGTACTCAGAAAGAAATTTTCAGTGTACAAGACAGACAAAAATGGCAGGTTGTAGTTCACATAAAAGAAAGTACTGACATTATGAGAGTGCAGGAGAAGCAACTTCAAATTGCATTCACAGATTTAAAAGCCTAAGTCTCAGTCAGATGGTGTGGGAAGGAAAGCTTAAGTATACTGAAAGACTGAGTACTGAAAGACTAAGGCAAGTGAGCCTGTTGCCTTAGCTCTTCCAGAAATCACTTTACTATTGAATTCATAATAAACAGCAGCTTGAGAAATGGAGATGATAGCGTAGGTGTCAAAAAATTGGTAACTCTTATAGCTTATTTCTTCTCCACAATGTTTCCTTTCAGAAGGAGGAAGTAGTAATATGGTTAATGGCATAAAGAAGCTTTTTGCATTTGAGAACAAAATAGAACATTTTTTCTATATATTACACCTGTTTTCTGGTAAGTTAAGGATCAGCAAGGCATACAAAAATGATGAAGTCACGCAGCAGGTTTCATTATATTCCCCAAGGCTTTGCAATACACCATAATAAATTCCTTGCTCACGTGTGCAAAGTCAACTACAAAAAGTAAATGCAAAAATCATCTACAGGGAGGTAAGAAGCTGCTCAAATCATCTTTCATATCCAGCTTCTTCAGAAGCCTGCTTAAGGACTCAGTGACTTTTTCAGAAGGACTTGATTTTCTAAGGATCCAAAGAAAGGAGTGAAAAAATCTGACTGAATCAAACTGCTAACAGAGATCTGACTGAGTTTACCTGTTCCATTGGCTTGCGCCTGCGGCTTTGCGGGTTGCTGAGCTGCAGGCACCTCTTCTGCCCTACAAAGGAAACAGAAACAATGTGAAATGCCTCAGATGAAGAATATTTTCTGTTTTAGGTAAAGGGAGCACCAGAACTTCCATGGTTTTCCATAACTGAGATAATAGAACCATGACAAGAGAAAACCAAACAATGTTATTTCACCAGATTCAAAATACTCATTGCATGTGGCACTTAGGACCCAGGGAAACAGCACCCACTGGAAGGAGAGGTGTGGTTCAGCCATCTCCTCTCACCAACAGCTCCAATTCCTACAACTACTGCTTAATTCGGTATCAAATCTGTTGCATTACTTACGCCTTTGTGCTGTAATTCATTGCAATGCCTCCCTGGAAAACTCTTCAGCACCCCGACTTTTCCCACAGTAACAAATGAAAAGGGATTCTGTATCCTAAATTGATAACCACAGTACCAGAACAAAATCACAGATTAATGCATGAACCTTGAATTCTGCCATTGTTACTAGAGTCAAGCACCACTCATCTTCACAATGAGAGGAACAGCTGTCAAGAATTATCTAAAATGCTATGTTGTAAGCTCTTGAAATACACAGATATCAACCAATTTTTAAAATATCATTTTATAAAACTTGCAAAACTGAAATAACAGTCTGAAACACTGAGACAAAACGTTCTAAAAATATATAGCAAGTAGTAAGCATCATTGGTCTCGTCTTTCAAATCGAGTCAGGAATAATATTCTCCTCCATTAAAAGTGAGCAGATTTTGGAAAACACAAATGCCTTTCCCATTCTGCACATGTGCAAGGCTTCAAATTACACTTGCACTATCTACAGCCTCCAGCTGCCAAACTATCTTGAGAATGCTTCAGGCTTCAATCCAAAAGTCTTCAGCCATCCATGTAGGCATCCTACAGAAAGATTTTTCTAATGAAGCAGCAGCTTTTGACAACATAACACCAACTACAGCGAGCTTTATGTGACAAGGAGCCCTATGATTGAACTGGATACTGCTTGAAACAAAACCCATGTTGGTTGTGCAATTCCATTATCACTCATTTGTCAGTCACGACGGGCGCTTTCAAACCCTCCCTTCATCCTTTGCTCCTCAGGAAGGGAACCAAGCGGGACGCTGCTCAGCAAGCGGAGAGTGAGAAGAGGGATTCTACTGTGCTGGGCAGACTGCAGCAATATAGACAGAGATATAGTTCTCTCTCCTGCTGTTCCTCTAGAAAGTAC